TTTACATTTTGTTATGGACAAATATTTGATTATAGTATAATTCCAGAGTTTAGTGGTAATGCTACAGATGAACTAGTTATACAATGAATTCAATGGAGTGATATGATACATGACCTTTGCAAGAGAATCGACATCAAGTGAATACTGCTACTGTGACTGTGAGATGGCACTCTCATTGCAACTAGACAGAGAGGAGAAAGTGAGTTTGTGGCATAACAAATGGGTCCTCATAGCTGCTTATTCTCTGAACTCGTTTGTTGCATACAACCAATTTGTAGCATGATAACTTTACCTGGAAGAAATGAATATCTATCAGATTTGCAACGTTGTCTGATGCTCCTTTGAAGTTGATTATACAAGAAACAACTGCCAGAGTGAAACAGAATGATCATGTGAAATGGACTTGTCAGTCAGTATGAGCTCCCTTGCCACTGGGTTACTGCTGTAAGAAAATGAAGCAGTGATGGAGGACACATTTGACTGGGCTCAGTGCAATAATAAAATGCATCAATCTCGCTCTTCAATGGCAAGCGGAAGTGCTCCATCTAAAAAATGAATCCTTGTGCATTGTATTATTGGCTTAAGGACAATTTGACCAAAAGGCAAAAGTGCACACCATGGCAGCAGGAGAAATGTTGGTGGAGAGGAGGTTTAAAACATTCTTGCAGCTAATTGGGGAATATTGGCTGTCAAGTGACATGACATTAGTGAGGTCAGAAGAGAACAGAACCAACAAATTAACAAGAGTGCCACAAAAATGGTTCAAGACTATGAAGAAGGGAGAATAGATGGCACTTAAGGTTTGCCCTGTTGCTCTGAACAAGTGCCAGATACTTAAATTCACCACCATACTGGGCATCCTGAGATGAAGTGAAAAACCTACCAGAATCCAAGGAAGATTCATCTGCTGATGAATCAGCTGCAGAAGAAGCATATTTACCAAGTAGTCTCCTTGTCACCAGCCATCAGTGGGCTGATATAAGAGCACCTCACAAACTCCTAGATAACCAAGCGAGAGTTGTCACTATCAGAAGGAGTATGCATCAGAAGTGACCAGTGCCAGTTGTACTTTTTGGGATCAAGAGAGTTGGGGAGATTGTGGACCAAAAAAACTCTAGTTTACCCGAGGTTAAGAGCCTCACCTGCTCAGTCAGAGTTGCCATTTGAAATTTAGTCAAAGTGCATGCATGTTTTTAGCACTTTTAAAACTATTGCTAATTTGCATGTGCGGTTAAAAAGAATAAAAAGTGAGCAACATAGACAAGCAGCAGATGACTCAAGGATTTTGACTTGTTAAGGACTGGGTTCTTTGTGATTATCTGGTACAATATTATTCTCAGAATTTCAAACCAAACACTTTATTCAATCCATAGGGATAGAGGGTTCTAATTCCACTATCCATGCTAGGAAATATCTTGTATTAGTTAATTCTTCTGTGTTAATTTTTAATTGCTTTTATCCTTGTATCACTTCTGCTCATTCCACAACCATATTATAGGGACTGCCTGACACAGGTATTGAACTCATGACAACCAAGTAAACACAAGCAGGTAACCAATAATTTATATCCACTAGACCATTGTTTTATAGAATAATCAGAATTAACCTGAAGAAATAACTTTGAAAATATCCCCTAGCATAGACAGCAAAATGAGAACACCCTATTCCTATATAGCAGTATTGACAAAGAAAGCAGTACTGTTGAGCTGAGTTCAAGATCAATGCTACTTTGTTGCCCTTATGTATTTATGAAAAGCATTTATCCCCAGCAATGTGGTAAATAGCTAAGTTGACTGGGCTCCCTAGTCTTGGGTGGCAGCTTTAAGAGAAAAACTATTCTGAATTCAAAACTGTAGAGAAAGCAGTAGGTAATTGCTCCACTATCTTTCCTAAGAAGTCATGGTAATTCATAGTTCATTATCAACCATTATTAGTAACCATTTGTTATAAACATGAGTATGATAGCATGGAAAAACAAATGAAATAACAGTACCGCCAGTGAGGTGAAAGAAAAGATGAAAAGAATTGTAAATATACAATTCTTTTGTGTTATCGATACAGTAGATGTAAGCAGAATGTCTCTAAATGTGGGCAAGGGATATGGCTTTGAAGGAAGGTTAGTGTCGATAACACCTTGAGTTGAAATGTTTATTGAGTGGTTTGACAAGAGAGGCCTGGAGTAGATTAGTGAAGCTGTGAATCTGACATCAGAGAATGTGAGTGGAATGTCTATGTGAGGCCGAAGTGGAGGAGGATGGATCTCAAATGGATATGTGTGTCAGGTCAGTTGTCTGAAGTTACGGTGGTGACATTGAGAGCCTGTTGTGTGTCAACTGTTGGCCTGTTCTCCTTGCTTTATATGATGCTTGGAGCCCCTGTGCAGAGAACGCCTTTTTTTTATTTTAGCTTTTGCTTTCTTCATGCTCACATCCAATGAAAATATACAGTAAATCAAAAAGAGATCCAATCCACAATGGAATATAACACTTTCAATTTTTTTATCATGGAAGATAGACTCTCTGTAGCTATAGAGCTGCCAAGTCTGAATTACTGTTGCTTGCAGGAATCTGATGTTTAGATCTAGAATTATCCTCACTTGTTAAAAGATGCATTATACACCTGAGGAAAGAAAAACATGATGATAAAAGAATGAGGCTATTCATCTAAATAACACACAGATAACAATAAAGACATGTTTCAAGGATTTAGACAGTATTCTTTCATGACATTCATCTTAATTAAAAATAATGGCACATCTCTGTATTTTAGAAATGTTCATGCCTTAATTATAAGAAATTTAAGCTGCTTGAGCATGTATCATCTGCCTTTCAGAGAGAAAGTAGATGCTGCATTACATTCTTGCTTAATTTTTGAATTTCAAAAATATTTTTTTCAATTTGTAGGAAAACAGCTGTATTTGTTTTTTTCATCCAAAATGAATAAAATAAAATTCTGAAAAGTGTATTTGGCACTTACTTGTAGGTTATATAGGGGGGCATTGGAGTTAATTTTCAGAATTGATGAGCAGCTGTTACAGGAGCCCAAGTTGCCTGGTCCAGAAAGAAAACCAATGCAGAAGAAATTTGACAACCAATAGATGGGAATTGAAAGGAGCATCAAAGTTGCTCCCACATCGAGGAAAAGACTTTGGTTGTTGTGCTTGTTTTATCTTTCGCTGTTGCCACAAACTTTGCTTTGAAAATTGTACAAATTCTTTGAAAAGTATTTTCTCTTTTCTTCATTTTATGTAATTTTCTTTTCTGAGGTTCACATATACAGCATTATAACTTTTATTGTAAAAAGGCAGGTTACATTTTCATTGATAATTTACATACATGTTATAGGCCCTCATCTGGCACCAGTGGCATAGCTAGAGTAAAGGTCACCCGGGGCGGTCTGCCTAAATGTCACCCCAATGACCCCGATTCACCTTATGCTGAATGGTTAGCTGTAGCTAAATTTTCATACATGCTCTACCTCTACTTTACTCTACTGACCGGTACGTTACTGTTTACATTTATGATCCAAGACAAAATCCAATACCACAAAATAATCAGTTGAAATCAAAAGATTTTTAAAATGCAACTGTTCACTTTCAGAACAACTAAATACAAAACACGGCAATACACAAAAGAATAACATTCGATACTATGGTCTTAGAATGAATGTTTTCTTGTTTTCATTGTGGCAAACTGGTCAATTACATCGTCAAAATCTGTTTGTCTTGTAAGCTCGTTTTCAATGGACAGCACAGTCTCGACTGGCTCATGGTTGATGTAATTTTCTGGTGTCCAATTTTCCGTTGCATCATTTTCTGGGTACCATTTAATTATCAATGATGTTTGAAAGTATTTTTCTTGACAAAAATGTTCTATTTGATTTTTTTAACCATTTTTCGGAACATTGTAATCAACTGCATTCTAGGTTACCTAATTTATGCAAAGTTTTTTTTTTTTCTTTATACAAGTAAGTAAAATAAATTTACATCGTATTTTGATGTTAGTTATTATGATTTTAGTTTTAGTGATAATTTAAAAACAATAAATATTTATCATTAGTACCAATAATGGAAAATTAAGTTAAAAATTTAAAAGAATCTTTTTTTGGAATCGGAAAATAGGCACAAATTTTTCCGATTCCGATACCCCAAAAAGTTCCGATTTTTCCGATTCTCGATTCCGATTAATCGTCCCAACACTAGTAGATATATTCAAACAAAAGTATCAATGGAAAATTGTATCTCAGCGAATTAATACACAGGCAAGACTGAAATTGTTGCACTTTTGGCTTCGTATTTCGCTTTGTTGTTATTAATGATGCAGAGTTAAACACCATATCATCCGATAAAATGTTACAAGAATGTCTCTTGTTAGTAACTAAGATTGTAGCAACTGAAACACATGAAAGCTGAAAACATTGCTATTTTTCCTAATTACAAATTTCCCGACAATTTATTAGAAATTTTCTGACGGGGTGGGGGACAAAACTGGGGGCGGGGTCATATGCCCGCCTGCGAAACACTGTGTCTCCACCACTGTTTTCAGACTATTTTTGGCACCTTAGCCTGGTTGAAAAATTTTGTTGGGGGTGACATTGTGTCACCCCTCCTGTGCTGGCAGCCGGGGCGGTCCGCCCCCTCCCCTTAGCTGCACATAATTTGTGTAATTCATTCATTTTTGTGTTAATAAATGTAACGTCCATTTTTAAATTTGGCTTGTGTTGTGTCTGTGTGCCCATATAAATTAAAAGTTACCTCAAACATTTGTTTGAACTATTTGGCAATTTTATTTACAATTTATTTCTTTACTCAGTAGCAGTAGATAGGTTTAAGAGGAAGTTGTCTGAAAACATAAACGAAATTTCATATTGCCATCTACAGTAGAGTGATATCTATGAGTTCGATCCTTACAAAACGGGAAGCAATGAAAGAGTAATACAAAAATCAACCGGCGTCAGTTGCAGTATTTCCGCTTCCGTTGAATGACGTGGTATGTGAAGCAATGGCGGACCGACACCGCAAGGAAGCTACTCCTCCGCCTCTGCTGCTCATACCAGCCAGTGGAGGACTTACTCTTAACCCACCAGAGCAACCTAATATTCTTATGCCTGTAGTTCAATCAGAACCTTCCTTATTATGTCCGGGTAAGTGTTGTTATGTCTCACACCGAAGGTTTATAAAATATTCCATCATGTTGCTTATGTAATTTTTTATGGCTAATTCCTCTTTCTTTTAAAAGTGTGTTTCTAAGTATTTAACTTTTTTGTTTGTTAGGCGGATCTTTGAAATATTTTCGGTTTTTAGTCCTTTTACATATGATTCTTCTCAAATTGAAGTTTATAAAAATTAACGATTGTCTGCTACTACACTAAATGTTATGTTATTATTGAACCGAATTTTACGTTAGAATAAATTGCATTGTTTGAAAGTTTCGACCTACACACATTAATAAATTCATCGAGTGTCAGGAAAGGAAAATTCTTAAAAACGTTTATGATTCTAACAATAAAAGTTAGTGTTTCTTTCATCCTTAACAACAATAACACTAACTTTTTACAACGGTGTTATTAACTTTTGTGGTGGCATTGTTTAATTAATTTTCTCTTTTTCGATTAATGTATTTGTGAATTTGAGATGAAAACCGTAAAACGATTGTTATCAGCTCGTGAGAATTATATCGAAAAGCCCAAGGATACATTTGTTCGCTATATATTTTTATGTCTGAATGGGATTTGTGCATCGATCGACAGATTGTCATGACATAATGTTACTGTTACTTTAGTGAACTGAAAATGTAAAAAACTGCTTTGAAGTTAACCGGCAAATTATTTTCGTGAGCTCATCCGAAAAAATTCCTTTTAAAAACAATCATTTGTTTTTCTTTTTTTAAATTTATGACTTAAAAATTGTATTTTAAAAAATGAATAAATTTCAAGTAATAGCATTTTCTTAAAGATTTTAACTTTTATAAACAAACATTTTTTTTGTTTTTTCTTTCGTAACTTGAAAACTTTACAAGAAAACAAATGTTCTAGTATTTTTGTGTGTGAAAAAAATCAAATTAAGTAATATACTAGACTAGAGCCGAATATTTTTTTAAGGTTCAAAAACTGGGCTTTTTTTTCTAGGAAAATGCCTTTTACACGATTGAAATAAAGACTAACAATTAATTAATTAATGTAACATTTAACAATGTGTACATACAAAAATCCGATTTCTAATTTTACAATAAATAAACACTCCCCAAATTTAACAAAACAATTCTCAGTATATTAATTTTATTGATCAGCCTGTATTATAGTCTCATTTTTCTTAAACGTGCTGTGTTGAAAATTCTTTAAAATAAAAAAAAGTAGGAATTACAAAAATAAAGTTAGTTGTTATATTCATTTGTAGACTTTTTTTGTACAAATTTTATAAAAAATAACTTAATTTACTGAAGCGTATTACATATTTCAGTATTTATCAAGTTCAAGAATCTTGTTTTCTACTCTTTTATACCCTAAAAAGGGAATCCTTTTGTCACAAAGAGCAAGCATTTTACTTACCATTTTACCCTCCCCGCAACCCTGTGGATTGTTATGGTGGTGGGGGGTGGAGCGCTAAAAAAATATAGTGTCTGAGGAATAGAAGAAGAGTGATATTTCTCGAATTACTTTCTAAGAAGCAAATTTATTTGATGTAATTTCAAAGTTTGGTTATTTGGCAATTCCAACCTAATTAATGTCAGTATTGTAATTTTAATGTTCGCATCATTGTTGTTTATCACAAAAGAGAGAACGTTGTGCCCTCCGGTCTTCTTCAGGTGTCTGTCGATACGGGTCAGCCTTCAGAGAATGTTCAAACTTTTTAAATTAATCCTAGGAGGTTAGATTGTTCTTGTTTTGCTGTCTATGACTGAAAATATCTTGTCTTGTTCTCTGTTATTGCTTGCTCTGTTTTTACTTTTTACCCTATTCATTGAATTCACTGAATTTGAATTACTATGCCACCAACAATTTCACGAGCCAACGCCACTGTAATTTTATCATTATAACCTACAAGATAGCCAGTCCTACTAAAAATATTTCTATGGATACGTTTTCCTTTTTCTGTTTGTTCATAACGTGTCATGTCCCCATATGCTTTTTTAATTTTTTTTAGGACATAGGCGATCATGGCTCTGCACATATTTCTTTTCATAATTATTATCTGTGAATCGCCATGATTTCTTGGAAAATAGTGGAGTGGTTTCAAGTTGCCTTCTCCAGTTTTCAATTCAAAGTACTTTTTTTTCTTAGATTAGGTGCAATACAAGGCTTCGTCCACTCAGTTTTGAATTTTGATACCTCGGTTTTAAAGTGAACTTTTAAAAATGAAAAATCAGCCTTGAAGGTTTCTTTTTAGCTTTTAATTGAAAGCTGAATGATTATTTCCAGTAAGCAAAATACACCAGAGTATTTTGCTTTGAGAATCTCAACTTTTTGCTCACTTTCAGAAATCAATTCAGTCATTTTGGCACATTTGTAAACAAAACTTAATTCTCTGTTTTAAAAAATCTTCCAAAAATAATTTTTTTTTTTTTTTTTTTTTTTAAACTTTATATGAGAAATATTAGCTGATTTAAATTTAATTAATCAGATTTGAAAAAATATTTACTTTAACCTAAAAATGGATTTTTAAAACAGCACGATTAAGTGCTTGTCAACACCTTGTAAATCACTTGGCGAGGTGCTGACTCGTTTATTATTGTTCTAAGGAGACCTTATCTGTTAAAACATAATTTAAGAAAATGACCAGTGAACGCCTTTCTATATAATTTTTAAGTACTCAGTAATCTTAAAAATATTGGAAAATGTTCCCCATAATCTAATTTTAGGAACGTTAAATTTAAATTTACTATAGTTATCACTCTTATTTTCTGATTATGTTGTGTATGGTCACCATACTTTCAAATAGGGGCACATTACATATACAAAAAAAAATTATTTTTAAAAAATCTTACTTTTGATTTGTATGAGCGTTTCAATTTTGATTCATAAATGTAGTTTTCACTTAATAACAATATCACCTGTCTTGAAGTGATGCAGAATTTTAAACAATTTTTATAGTATTATAAATTATTTAAGTAAAATTTAAAAAAGTGAAAACAGTTCTTGTAAAAAATTAATTATTCATTGAAAAAAATTTTCTTTTTAAGACAATGGTGTCATTAATAAATCTTATTTATAAAAGCAATTAGAAAGCTTTTCATTAGAAAATAAATAATGTCATAGTTTTATTCTTTTATTGCAATTTTTATTTTTTACAATTCAGAGCATATTTTTTAAAAAAAAAATTTCTATTTAATTTTCAAAATTTTTAATTTCAAAAAAAAAAAAAAAAATGAAAAATGAAATTTATTAAAATCTCCAATGGAGTTTTTTTTTGATTTTTCAAATTAATAAAATACAAATTTTTGATTTCTAAATTGAATTTATTCAAATTTCATAAAATTGAACTAAAAAAAAAATAAATTTTTATATAAAAATATTTTCTAAAAAAAAAAATTTCAAAATTAATTTCATTCATCTGTGAAGTCCTGAAAGTTTCATTAAAATCCAAAAACTTATTTAATTTTTTTTCAAAAATTTCCAAGACAGTGTTTTTTTTCACCAAAAAAAAAGTGCAAAAATTTAATTGTAATTAGTTCTTACGTCGACTGTGTGACAAACAAAAAACATTTTTTTTTTTTTAAAATATATTTGAAAAACTAGAAAAAGATTAAAAAAAACTTTTCAAAATAATCATCAAAAAAAAAGTTTGGTCTTTTCTCTTAATAATAAAAACATTTTGACGATAAAACTTTTTTTTTTTTCTTTTATTTTATTTATTTTTTTTTTTTTATCAAGTTTGGAACCCTTTTTCATCATGCTATGCTTTTTTTCATTGAAGTCAGGTCCTAAGTTTCAATGAGAATGGATTTTTCTTGTTCAGTCCTTTATCAAAAAAATTTTCAGCAGATTAAGCTATTTTTTTTAGTTTTGCTTTTCCACTGTCTTAACAAAGTGATAAAAATTACGCTATGATTGTACATCTACAGGACATTATTCTTGATACCTATTTACAATATACAGTTTTACTTTTTGTAAGATATAAATTATAAAGCTATTTTTGTAAAAGAAAAAGTTTGTAAAGTATTTAAAGCAAAATAAAATTAAAAAAGCAATGAAAGTAAAATAAGTTTTATCTTATTTGTGATTTTTTTTTTTTTTTTTTTTTTTTTAAGGAAAATAAAGAAAGTGGTATACAATGTTTATATAAAAAAATATTTTAAACACATGGCATCAAAAAAATTAATATTTTGTTAGTGCACTGTAAAATGAACCCAATAATTTATAATTAAAACAATATAATTGTTATAATAAGAAAAATAGATTTTATATTAAATTTTGTGTTTGGGTGTGAAAAATTCAATTCAATGTTTTAACTATTGAAGCTTCAGCTTTAATAATAGCTAAAACATTGAATTGAAAACATATATATGTATAGGATTTATATATAATTAACTTTTGCTATTGAAATATTTTTTTTATATCTTGTTATTTTTTTTTAATTATGAAATTTTTTTTAAATTTTAAATTTTTAATGTCCACTTTTATTTTTTTAATTAAAAAGTATTTATCAATTTTTAAATTATGACCTATATATAACTTCCTACTTGTCTATCAAATTTGTATATCATTCTCCCCATGTGGATAAAGGAGCGTTGTTATCTTTTCAATAATGACTGATGAGGCAAGTTTTTTCCAGACAAGGTTGCCATTTCTTTCTGTGGTAGACCAATCATATCCAAAGAAATAAAACGGTCTGTCCTGCTATTTACCCATAGAACTAGATTCATACTTTTTCCCAAGTAAGTGAATGTAATGGATTTGACTGAAATTCGAACTCTGCTCTTCGATTTCTTAATCCGAAATATCCATTTTCCAAAATATGGCGTACAAATTTTCTTTTTTAAAAGCAGGTAGGTATAGTACTATATATTGTTTTCAAAAAGGATTACTAAATTTATTCATTTAAATTTTGTTAAAGATATTATTTTTTTTATAAAACATCTAATTAGAGCAGTAGTTTTTTTCAATTTCTTTGTGAACTTTGTCATTGTTATAGTGTATGCAGGAGACATGTGACATCCTAATTTATATTCATAGAAAATGGAATGAAACTGCGGAGGAAATGATGAACAAAATAATGACCAGGTAACAACCAACACATGATTTTTTTTGAGATCATTCTGAGATTGACTATGGACATGGAGGAGTCCAGAAGGAGATAAAAAAAAAAAGAAAATTAATTATATAACCATCATACAAAAATGGTTGAGGAAAAAATATTCACTGTTTGAAAATAAAGCATTCTCCCATTATGGAAAATTTTCATTTTAATTATGTAAACTAAGAGTAAACTGCATTGAAATTAAAGAAGCCTAATGCAGTTTAAACTATAATCTTTATAACTCCTGAACGATCCTAAGAGAAGATACAAGTTCCACAATATGGAAACTTAAAATTAAAATTTGAGAAGACTGCTTTTTATGATTTCAATTGATGATATTATTCATATTAGGATTTGTACGATGATGGAAAAAATACTGGATGACTGATGAGTTTTGACATGATGGAAAGGAGAAAGAAAGCCTTTTTTTAAGATTATGCCTTTTTAAGAGCACAGAAAAAATGACACAATGAAATAAGGACAGAATGTTAATAAACTAAACAAGAATGGCTAAATGAAAAATGTGCATAAATAGGAAAATTGTTATTTTTTCAACAAAAGAAAATGCAAAACAAAACCATGTTTGGACAGAAGACATACTTCATAATTTACAGGCTGCCTAAAATCAAAGGATGGAATACTCATATTAGAGAAGGAAAAAATTCTTCAACATCTGGTCTAGTGCTTTTGAGAATTCTTTATAAATTCTTTTATAAAAACCAAAGAAGAATCTACAACAAATATTGGTCCTCTGAAAACTTTGGCTTCAAACTAAAATTTATACTTTTGAAATTGAGGCAGAAATACAAAACCATCTTTGTGAGATGGAATTGTTTCTGAAATGTTGATTTAGAAGGTGACTTTGACATAAACAAATCAAGAAATAACAAATGAAATGGTCCAAACATCTTGGATAAATCGGAAGACCTCAGCAGATCTAAAGTAGCTTCCCTGCCTTAAAAATTTTCATCATAGTTGTTTTAAATGCAAACTTTTGACAAAACAATAAGCTTAATAGCCATGTGACATATTCTGTTGAATAGAGTTTACAGTTGAATTTTTAGAGATAGGACAAGTTCTATGGGTTTGTTAAAGATGCTTTTCACAACAAAGAATGTGATATTCAATGCTCAGAATGTTTTTTTCAGAAAGAGTGATATAGATGCAGAAGGATGTTTACCATGTTTCATAGATTTCCTATTAAGGCCTTCAACAAAATATTGACACAAACTTTTTTAACCTTGATATATTCAGGTTTTTATCAGAATAATCAAGAACCTATACTAGCAACAAACAGCATGCATATGCATGGGAAAAGTTCAAAAAATATATAAAAAAATCAGAAAGATTTTTTAAATAGGATATTTATTTTTAGTTTGACCTGTTCAACCTAAATTTGGAATTATGGCACAGAGGTAATGTAATTCATTGTAGTAGTATGTATACCCTCACCTTGCACAGGATCAGTTTCAATGCAAAAATATATAATATTGGCAAATAGATCTGGACAACATGAAAGTCTTTGATCATATCCCATTTACTAACCATAACTTATTCTGGTCATATTATAAAATGAATTCATGTGGCTTGATTATTAAATCTGAGACATGGACAAGACAGCTTTCAAGAAATGATGGTTGACTTTAGTGAAGGCCTTGAACTGATCTAAATTGATTAGGTTGACTTCACCATTAACTATGTTACAGTCTTTATAAATAGTTTATCTTGTATCAAAGTACTCTTGTTACCCATTGTTTCTGTTCTGGGGCTATCAAATATTTCAGCCCAGTTAGCAAGCAGTTTTCTAAGATCTTGCCCCAAATATTTAGATTTGTATTTAAAAATTTGTCCAAGGGAAATTAAATGATTAATTTATATCCACATGTTTGTAGAGACTAAGTTAAAGTGAAGCAAAACCATTTTTTTCATCCAGTCTAGTAGTAATTCAGAAAGTTTTCATAGATGCCTTTATTTGTAATCATGGTTCATTTGTCCTGTGATATGACGTTGACAATATGTCAATCAGTGGCATTCCAGAGTTCTTCTGGTGAAATCCAAAATGTCATCTCAAAAAAATTCTTTTAATATAGATCTAACTACCAGAGCTTGATCCTTCTTAATAAACAAAGAGGCCAACTCTTTAGTTATTTCTTTTTTTTAAAATAATTTTATGTAGGCAATTGTGATAATTTCAAAAAATTTTTGTGCTATTAATCTGTGTCTGTTGAATTAGTGACTATAATCAGCAGCAAAAAACCAAGACATAGATTTATCTGGTTTCATACTTATTCTCAACCAAAAAATTGTCAACTCCTGCTTTAGGGTTAGTGATAGCTAATACCAAAAATCCTTCCCATTCAACAAGGACATGTTAAATTTCTAGAAACCAGCCATCTTAGTCTTATGTAAATTTATTTGCAACTGAACTAGCCTATGGTCCAAATAAACTATACAATGAATATATTTTACAATGTTAAAGTCCTGATTGATATATAATGGAAAATAATGCTATATTTTTTAAATGAAACCAGTACAGTCAATTCTACCTTCTTCAGATGTTCATTTTTGAATTTATTGGCCAAATAAAGTTTGATGACAAATTCATATAAAAACTTTTGTGTCTAAATGAGTATTATATATACATGGTGGGATGGGTAAATTGTCACCATTTTATATTTTTAATTTCACACATGCATGTTTGTTTTTGATTTTGTTGACTACACATTATAGTAGGGTCAGTTGGGCACCATCTGTGAGAAAAAGAGCACCATGACGCAATTCACTTTACCAAAAATGTGGAAACTGCATGCTGTACTGCTTGGCATTTGCACTGGAAGCTCCAATATGAACATTTTAAAGGGTTTGGATGTCAATCTTAGGACATGCAGAGGATTCAGAAAGAGTTGGATGATACATTCAGTCAACATCATGGTGTTTGGAGTGATCACTAGTGATGGTGTTATGTTATGCCTCCATTCATCTTCCTGTAGGGCCTCAGACTCGGAGTTCTACATCAAATGCCTTGAGAAGGTAGTGCTGCCTTGGGTTGAGAGCGTGGCTGCTGGAAGACTCTCTGACAACAGGACACTGCACCATGCCACACAAGCAGGAGAACCCAGTCATGGCTGTCAGACAATTTCTGCAACCATATCACCCCTTACATCTGGCCACCTAACTACAACCCTCTTGATTATTATGTGTGGGGCGCAGTTGAGTGAGAGACCAACAAAACTCCTTGTAACACCAAAGATGAACTGAAGGCAGGATTATGGCAGCATTCACCAGCTTAAACAAGGAGACTGTTCAGAAGAGTTGCAGGAGATTCCAAAATTGAAGCCAAGGGTGCTTTTATTGAATAAATTTACTCCTTAGTATTTAAAGATATTTTTGTGTCATTTTGGTAAATATATCTGTTAAAATATGATGTCAGTATTTTCATTTTTGCATAATTTAGATAATAATTTATCCATCACACCCTGTATATTACACCTGGATATAGAAATGACATTGAAACCTTATTTATTAAGCATGACATGGTAAATGTACAACACTAAATGGGAAAGGGGGAATGTATGTTGGAAGTGGGGATGGCCTGCTTAGAAAATTGGTTAATATCTTTTTTATTTCTCTTGTGTATTAAACAACTTTAAAGTGAAACAAATTGTATCTGTATAATTGATTCATATATTGATTCTTCTTTAATATGTTCCTAGAGTTTAATGCATGTGAATTTGCAATATTAATCTTAAGTTGAAAAATTCATTTAAAGTAGCCCAAACACCTTGGCATGTTCTGTGAACATGTAAAAATATAAAATATTATCTTAGCATGCATTGCTTTTTAAAATCATATTTTGCTTTAATCTTAATTTTTAAATTTACCTACACAAATACCCTAATTATTTTTGTATAATATGCATCGCTATTGTGCTAAGAAAATCTGAAAAAAACCCTCTCTTGTCAATAAGAGGCTAATGTTTTAAAATTTAGAGTAGCTACATTTAACATCTGTTCAACTTTTTATCTGGTTTGTATTGACTAAAAATAAGAATTTATATCATTTACGTTTTGTAATTAAATAACAGGAATGATCAGTCCTAATCAGCCATGTATTTTCTTCTATGAAATTTGCAAGAGACTTTTTATGAAGTTTTATGCACAACTAATGAATTCAAAAATTGTAAACTACCAAAAGCAGATAATGGATATCTTGATTGATGAAAATTATTGCTTTTATAGATGGTTGTCTAAAACTGACTGGTTAGAATTAACTTGGTGTAGATTTTTGTTATTTTTATTTCTAACAGCTGTTACTTTCCAGGTACATCATATTGATATCTTGCTCTACATTTGAAAAAAAAAAAGTCTCGTACACCAAACACACACACACACACACACACACACACACACACACAAACAAAATGTTTAAGGTTTCTTTTATTGTATATTTCTATGCTGTTATAAATAACTTATTTTATATACTGAGTATGTTTGTTCATCTGTAATTATGCTTTAAATATAAAAACAATCCTAATTTTAATAAAACAAGTGATTGTTTCCAATTATTTCCTAGAGTCAACTTAACACCATATGAATTTAATGACACACTTTAAGAAAGCTTAATAAGTTTTATAACAATATGGAATTGGACTGAAAAATAAGAACTATAGTTCTATCTCTTGTACCCAGTTGGGAACAGTTGTTAACATAAACTCAGAGAAAAAGACTTTTTTTATATTGTTTCTTTACTACACTTATATATATATATATATATATATATATATATATATATATATATATATATATATAAACAAATATATTTTCTAAACAAAATACAGTTTTATACAGTTTTTACTTTTTTCTTTCCAAATTCATTTTTGTCTTATTTCAGATGAAGCTGAAGCAGACAGTTTTGTGGGTCAAAACTTATCAGAACCAAACAGTACCACATCTAGTCAAAGTGCTTCTCCCTTTTCTATGTTTCAACAGTCCAGTCCTACTGGCCTAGACCCATTTGCTCAAGTTGGACATCGGCCACCACCTGTGTCAATGCAACCAGCTATTCAGCTAAAATCAGATGTATCTAGTCCTCAACAATCACCATTCTCTCCACAACTTCAACAACAGACACACACTCCACAATCACAACATCAAACACCTTTATCAACAACACCTTCACTGCAGCAACCACAACAGATTTCCTTGCCCCCAACTTCTCAAGTGGTTTCAACCCCACCACAGTTAGCCTGTATGAATCCAGTTCAAAATTCAACAGTAACTCCAGGTGGGCCACCACCTGTAGGACCACCACCATCTAGCAGTGGTAAGTTCTTTAGACCCATTGATCACAGATGTTCTGTGTTGTACTATAACCAATTTATGATTAAAAGATAAAAAAAAAAATAGTTAAAATTTTCTGAATAACTTATACAGATATCATATGAATTCTTATGTTAAATAAAGTTAATTTACGTTATTTATAGAAAATGATACCAATATTAATAATGGGCTATAAACCCAAACTCTCTAGCAACAGATACAAATTGGTATATCAGTTGCAAAAATTTCCAGTCTCTTACTGAATTACAAAATCTAGGAAACTGCAGAAACTTTCTTAGCTACTTATGTATCTTGATGAATGAGCAAAAGTCTATTGATTACAAATTTTGAAATTCTATTTTTGTTTTTGGTCATTACAGCTGCACTGTTAGTGCATAGTTCAACACTTATTTTGCAGACTAACTTTCTTGAAAAGGTCATCCTTTTTTTAATAATTTCATCTGTTCTATGCTCATCTAATGACATGCAAAATGGTGTCTTCATGGGCATTTATTGCAACAATGCCTGATACATGCCAATAGTCATGTAGCATTTATCATATCAATGAATTTATCTAATTAGAGCTTTCTTTAATTCTTGTATTAAGTTGCTTAAAATGGTCATTGCTAATTTCCAAAGTTTGTCTTGATTGAAAGTGGTAGTTTCATTTGCATATTTTTTCTATGAATAATTTCTGTCACTGGGTTCTTTGCCATGGCTGTTTAAAACACTTATTTTTGTCATGTAGGAAAATCCAACATGGCATGTAAACAAAATGTTCTGCAAAATAGCATTCGTCAGTAACATTTTAAACACCTCATAGAATGTAAAGTTCTTAAAGCAAACCTATGCCAAGTTGTTTTCCTGAATCCTTGATGACTTGGCTGTCCGAAAATGACAACATCAAGATGAAATAATGGAAACTGACCATGAAAAACACAATTATGCGCAACAAGTTTTTGATCAATCAGTAAATTTCTGGACCTTTTTGAGTGATGTTATAGGCTTCAGACAGCTATTGTTTGCACATAGAATTATTCACTGGTAATTAATCTTTGATTTGGCTGTGGAAAATGTCACTTAGGGGTTAGCATTAAGAAATTATGCTCAATTTTCTGAGGAAAATCCCCCCCCCCCCACACTTTTTTTTATGAAAAAATTTCTTTTCACTTCAAAGTAATATCATTCAAACTTCATCCCTTTCTCCTTAATTTGGCATGAACATCATTGAATAAAAGGAACAGCTAAATGACCTTTTTTTCCATTTTGTGTATAAATTAAATAAAATTAAAAAATAGTTTTAATCTTGCAATCTTCTGATTTTTTTGCCTCACCAAAATGTATATCAGCTATTTTAACCATTGTTAATTTAAATGCTTTGTGACATCTTTTGTCTTAAAAAAAAAAAAAAAAAAAAGAAGATTACATAAAGTGAAGATGAATATCTTAAATCTTATTTGTGATAACAAAGTAGAATTATGTCAAAATTAGCCTAATATTTTAAATGTTTGGTATGAGTGAAAAAATCTGCTCAATATAAACCATGTTAGAAAAGATATGGAACTAAATTTTTAAATGTATCCAAGCCATGTATCCTAACAATTTTAGATGCCAAATTACAATGTAGACAATTTAAGGGAAAAAATGTGTACTGATATAAATATTTAAAGAAAAGTGTAAATTTTATTTGATTTTAGACTTTAAGATATTTTTTATTTTTCATCTGTATAAACTGTTGAATTGTCTGCTCATTAAATAAGAGCTGTTTTTATTAACAAGTATCTTAAATTTATTGTATGAATTAGACAAAATTTTTTAATCATTGAATAGGATTTTGTTTGGATTAATTTTGTTTTTTGTATATTTTTCTTTAAACGTCTTTCTATGATTGGATTTATTTGGCATGAAGCTGTAACAATAAACCTGTTTTTATATATAAAAATTGAAAAATTATATTTACTGATATAAATGTTTCTTGATATTGCAACACAATTACATCTGGGAAATGGACTTGCCAAAAAGTACAAAACAAAAATTGGCAAACATTCGTATGAAGAAATGATTTATTTTGGGTTCTGTGAAAGAACGTTGGTAAACCACCACTGACTAATGTCCAGATAGCTAAATTTTATTCATATATACACATGTATTTTTTCTTTGTTGGTGGGGGGGGGTCTCAGATTACTCTTCAGAATGTGAAATGTATGTAATGTTTCTCTTCAGCAGGGTCAACTCCAAACAGATATCGTCAAAAGGGGCCTTTGCGCTATGCACCCCCACCGGTTGATTCCTTTCCTATGATTGGTTCCCCACATCCTGGTTCAGTTGGGCCTTCTCCTTCATCCCCTCAGGTACCTGTATCAACATCACTTCCTCCATCCATACCTAGTGTTTCTGATACCAACCCTGGAGGTCAGTTCCAGACCTCACCTGTGCCACCTACAAGCTCCTACCCAACCAATACTGTCAGTGGGCTCTATCAACCAGTTCAAGCACATTGGTGCTTTTGCAAGCGTATAGAAAACAGAGAAGTGTGGTTCCCATTCTCTATTGCAGACTCTCTACGCTTAGAAGGTGCTTTTCAAAGAGGTAATTTTTTTGGTTTTTTGATTGTTTTGAAAAAAAAACAAAAAAACAATTTGAAATAAATTTGATTAAATTTAAACTTATCCATTATACTTTTGCAGTTTTATTTTTGTTTTAGATAGATTATTGTTTTGCCAACTTGTAGTACTTGTGCCACTTTTTGCTTAGTTCAGCAATTTTTGTTTTCCTGTATTAGGATCCTGAATTAACTATCTACAGTGACTGAAGAAAGTACTCTATCCTCTTCAGCTTTAATACTCATATCTGTAGGGAACTACCATAGAGAGTAAAGAGGCCCAGGGTTGCATGTATTTTTTGCAACACTAGGATAAAATCAAGAATAAAATAACTTACCTCCAGCACATGCAAAGATTCAACATGCCTCACGGTGTAAACTGTCCAAAGGAGAAAGAAATGGTGGCTTCACGGGTTACATATTTAAAATAGCTAGGTCCTGCAGTAAGATACTCTCTTGCAAGATTATTTGTATGCATATGCAAATTTTGGCTTTCGGTGATACATAAAAACGGGAAGAACGAGCTGATAGGGGAAGGAGGAAAAAAAAAGTTAACTGCTGTGTTGAACTGGTGACAAATGTTGCAGATGAGATCGAAGAAACTGATTGTAGGCATTGATTGCGACAATAAGTTTAAAGTTTTTTTTTTTTTTTTTTTAATTATAAAATTTAAAACCAGTAACACTAAGATTTCAAGCCACATCATTATAGGAAGCATAAGATGTGTTGTGGCAATGTTTATATTCATAAAATGACATTTACTTTTACATTACAACTTTGGGTCCTGTAACCTGCAGATCAGAACTCATTTCTCTTTAAAAAAATAGCTTTTTACAATTTCATAACCATATCTAGTGTAACCATATTCCAGTTTTTATAGCCAAGCTATTTTTTTTTTTAAATAGGTAATGATAACAATTCATAAATTTGAAAAATTAACTACTATCAGCAATAAAAATAAATGACTTTGTTTTATAACAGCAAGAAAACTCAAATGTAGTATTCATTTCTATATTTTTATTTTAATATTTTTTATATTATTTCAAATCAATATTCTTTTGAACTAAGAGACTTATTTATCTATTATCATCCAATTATTATTAGTTTTTCTTTTTCTTTCGAGGCTGTCTTGAACCAGAAGTGGTTGCTACAGATGGTGGTCGGTATGATGTATCTATTAGCCAAAGGATAAGAACAGCTGTGTACTGGGATGAAGAACCCACTCATGTTAGGCGCAGCACATGGTTCTACAAGCGAGAAGGGGACAATAAATATGTGCCTTACACAGAAGCTTTTGCCCAAAAATTAGAGGTTTGTATTGTGTTAGTGGAATTTTTATCATCTTAAGACACATTTAAAGTAAGCCATTTATGCCTTCATTTGTTTGGTGATTGCTGGACTCTGTTATTCAACCAGTTTTATGTATTTTGACACTTCATTTTTCTTTACATTTCAACTATTCAAGCAAATTATTTATTTTTCTAGTATATGTTAATTTTTTTTTTTTTTTCAAATAGTTGGTATATATAAAATTTGAAAATGGTTCTTAAAAACTACAATCTGTTAAAGACAAAGCAAAAATAACTTGAGACTGGGAAAAGATGCTGAAGAATTTCTGTAAAGAAAAAAAAAATCTGTCTCTTACAACTGAAAGAGACTTTTATTCACTAAATATCTTAACTTCAAAATAAAAAGAGGCAAGCTAAATTTGCAGAATTTTTGTGTTCAATTTCTTTCTCAGTAAATATTTTGGCTAAATGTTTTAACCAGAGAATTTTTTATTTGAATAATATTGAAAATCAGATCTTTAATCCATCCAAATTCCTTTTAACTGGTAAATTTCAGCAATGTTCAATTGATAATGGGTCAAATGAATGACAAAATACTATCCATAATCCCATATCTATATGTAAAGACTGAACATTTTATCTTGAATATTTAAGGATATTTTCTTCTGATATGAAATATAATTTTTTTTCAGTATTTTTATATACAGAATATTAAATTGTTTAATTTTCAGGTAGAATGTTATGGGGGGTTTGACCATTTTATGATAAAAAAATTATTTAATGCATGTCATTAGTGATCTGATGAAAATATAATTTAGACAAAATGGTAAAAACAGTATAATTACTTCTTATCTGAGTAATTAATGAGATTTCAAAATCATATTTTCTTGTATCCTCATGTCTCAGTAATTACTGACTGAAGTTCTGTCTCACATTTTATTTTTTTCATACATTTCTTGTATTTATATTTTTTTCCTTTGATGAAATTTTGCAGGAGGAGTATAAGAATGCTGTTTTGAACAATGTATGGCATAAACGCCTAGAATTTCCTGGAGGTGAAACAATTGTGATGCACAACCCCAATGTGATTGTACATTTTCAGGCTTCTTCACAACCAGATGAATGGGGAACTGTACATGTAAGTAATGTACTTATCTAGGTTCATTAGATATACACTTTCATTTGTTTAATTTCCACTTTATCTGTTAATACAAATATATGGAACTGAATACACACTTACACACATGCCATAAATACATATACGTATATATATATATATATCTCCACATACCCAACCAGTTTTACCAGTTCAACTGTTTCTCACTTTATTTTTTAATATATCTGTACTTAACATTCTTCTCTCTTTTCTATCTGCTATTTTTCTTTGTAATTATTCATCTTTCTATATATGCATTTATATATAAATTTAAAATAGTATATTTTATGAAATCAGTTATGAAAACTGTATTTGTATTGGAAATTAAAACTTTTTTTTTTTAACAAATTGTTTTGTGTTCATCCGATATAGAACTCCTTGATTTCTCTTTTAAGTCATCTTTTGCATTCATACATTCAGATTTGAACACAAGCTAGTTCTATATTATTCATTAGTTAAGTGTTTTAATGTCTTTGACTCTGCACTCTGTTTGATCATAATACCTATACTTTCAGTAATTTCTTTAAAAAAAAAAAAATCAACATATCATGTGATTTGTTACTTTAAGGAGGCTTGTAGATAAATCAGGTGAAAGCTTAGGTAATCTAATAAACTAATATCATCCAGAATATTTTGAAGAAACATTAAAACATATTATGATATTGTAGATTTTTAATAAAGCACTAAACTAAATTTTGTTCAAAAGCTTCATAATAGAATAAAATTATTTTTATAATTATTGCATATATAATAGCCAATTAAGTGGGTAATATTTATATTAATTCCAGATCGCTGACAATACCATTTTAAGTGATGAAACTTGCTAAAACATATTCTAAGTAAAAATGGAAAAATTTAATATTTAATCATCAAATTGTTTTCTTGTACAACCAGAAATATTTAATGTCGTAAATGACTGATACTAAATAGGAAAATTGAAGAAGTAGTATTAATGACATTAGGCAGCAATAAGAAAAAAAAAGGCAAAACCTTGTCTTCATATTAGGCTTAAAAATATATAACTTAAATAAAATATAACTTAGATTCTTTCACTTTATTCTAAAGATTTGCTTTGTCATTGTAATCATTAGAGTGAATCCAAGTTTCATAAATTCTAGCTATGGTGATACATAGGCACTCATATGCACTTAATTCTGTCTATAATTCTAGTGTATATTCAATGATAGACAAAATACACTCTTTGTACCCTCTTGACATACCTCCAAAGTTAAGATTTTGCATAAAATTTTAATAGAAAATTGATAATGATCAACTTTTTGAAAGAATATTATAAATTCTCTTTGTCCACATGCAAAACATGAAAATTTTGGCATTTGCTTACACTTTTAGTGTAAATTGCATCACTATATGTGTAATCATTATCAGTAATGAAAGTTTTTGTTTGTGTAATAAATCCTATACATGATATTAAAGGTTACATAAATATTTAATATATCCTAATTTCTGGGATGAGGAGTTATTATTTACTCTCAGACTTTGTTGTTATTACCACAACATGCTTTAATGCATCTGTCAATCTGGGTAACCTTCAGGGAATTTGGTGCTGACCCCTTCATTTAATCTATGGAGTAGATTGTTCTTGTTCCACTATCTGTATCTAAATATATCTCATTTTAGTACTGATCAGTTATTGCTGCCCCTTTCCACTGTACTACTTGGTTCAGGGATTGAACTTGCAATTACTATGACAACGATTTCACAAACCATTGTTTGTCCTGTTGGATTTTGGTGGAAACAGAATTAGCAATAACTGAACAGCACTAAAAAATAAAAATAAAAATATTCCTAAACATGGACAGTGGAATGAGAGAAATCTGGATTCTAGATTGAAATCAGTTTAAAATTCCTTGGAGGTTACCTGCATCAACAAACCCGTGAGGGCACAATGGCTGAAACATTGTGGTGATAATAACAAAAATAAGGGAATTAATCCAACAGCAAATAATGCAAATAATATTTCTTAATTCTGGAGAAGGAAGCATTTGGTGAAGACATGACAAAAATTTACAAATATACTTTTATTTAACAATTTAAATAATTCAAGAATGTTATGTAAAGTAAAACTTGCCATTATCAGATTTTCAATTGTTTACCTTCTCTTGTAAGAAATCTAACCGAGATGAATTATTTTCATTTTCTCTCTTGGTGTATATATTTCTTTCTCTTAGACTTTTTCTTTCTTTACTTTTTGCAAAGGACATTATACTTAGTTCTGTTGGGCCCATATAGTTTTCATTGTGCCAGAAAAACACGTTCTGCCATTTCGTAAATTTTTTACTTCCCCTGATCTCTTAATCATTTACATCTTTTTTTTTTTTTTTCTCCTCCTAGATGTTTTCTGTTTGTGTAAATTGGCTTTCAGTTTTAACGTTTTTTTTTTTTTTTTTTTTTTATGGGTAGGTGATATTTATTTAGCTCTATCTTAACCTTCAACTTTTATAAATCTATATATATAAAAAACTTCTAATCTAGTGGCCCATTGTTTAAACTTTTCACATGACTTTTCTATTTGAGACAATTTCCACTTGCAGCTCTCCCCATCCAACCATGAATCTCTCTATCAGAGTATCCAGGTAGGTGTGGCACTTGCAGCTTCCTTTAGCCTTGCTACATATTCTATAATTATTTTTCTGCCTTTGTCCTCTCACATTTGAGGAGTGTGTCTGTTATTCTTTTTTCTATGCCTTCAACTGATTTCATAATACAAAAGTTTTTTCTCCAAGTTTTTGCCAGTGCAATATCTTTTTGTTGAAAATTACTATAAATATAGATATACTAAAAATAAAATGGATCATGCTCACATTTTCAAATTAATTTTCTAAAAGAAAAGTTACTAATAAAAGAATTTTCCACTAGAAATGATAGATACATTTCTCCCCTTTTACCTGCATGAAAGTGAGCAAATTCTGCTACTTCTTCCAGCATAAATTTCCTATTATTATTTTTTTTTTTTTTTTTTTTTTTTTTTTTTTAGAGTAATCTAAATATTATTGAAATGACAATGTTAGAGTATTAAATTAGAGATGAAATGTGAATAACAAGATTATTTTTGAAACTTATAAATCAATTATATATATATTAAATTACAAAACCCACCAATTTTTCTGCTTGCCTAAAATTTTTGATTAAAAAATGCTTACTTATTGATGATTTTAGTTATTCATTCATATGTTGAAAAGGTTAACTTTTGATTGAGAGGAAACAAATTGAAAAATTAATTTAAAATATCATGAATCTCTAGAAACAGTGGAAGTTAAATGTTAGAATGAAGTAATGTTTCCATTTGGTTAAGCTTTGTTTCTAACTATGAAAAAAATTCTTTATGTAATGTCAAGAATTAGGGATGAATTAAAATTGATCATCCAATCAATACTTGGTTCTGTTTTATAGAATCACCTTAATACTGACAAGTTTTTAGTAAAAATTATTTTTTTTAAAAATTGGTCCATTTTTGATTATTTTTATTCTCTTTGTGGGGGTGCTTATCTTTATGTATCATTATTCTGTATAGGCTTTATTGTAGCTAAAATTTCACTCAGCTAGTTGCTTATTCTTTTTGTGCTGTTCACCTATTTACACATTTTTAGTCACTTTGAAAACTTCATAAAAGGTAGAAAAGGATTGAGATAAAGTAATTGTGAGGTGACATATCAAAACCCGACACTGATTCTCCATTGAATATATACTGAATATAGGAGATTGTACTTGTAATTCTTGTCAATAAGCTGTTTATAAAACCCAATTGTACATAGCTTAAATATTAAACAATATTGTAATGAATATGCAACTATTCATAGTTAAGTTTTTATGCTAGCATAAAATCCAATTAGAATAATCAACAAATTTTAAAAAGTTAATTGACTACAAAGTCTATTTAAAAATATCTCACTTTTTGATTAGAATTTGTCAATCAGGATAAATTTTTAATATTGACAAATTTTTAGATTTAAATTCAGTAAAAATAGATATTTTGATATGCATAGCATGTATATTTTTTTCAAAAGTAATATATTTAAAAATGAGAGTATAAAACTACCTCACCACCTTTTATCAACCTTTGTCACCTTCCAGTTATGGTCATCTCCAATCATTACTAGACAGCCTTATTTGTTTTGGATACCCACCCTTCTAGAAAGAGTTAGGGAAATTGGACAAGTTGGTAGCACAAAAGATATTAAAGTTTTTGACCATAAAATTTACTGTTTGAAAAGTCTCAAGGAAACAGTCATTTTTTAATACAGTAAAAAATGTAAAAAATAGATGAATTATTGTTAACAGAATATTTAGGCTTATAAAATAGTGATTTTTATAAAAAAAGAATTAACGTGAAAACTATTGCTCAGTATTTTGAACCTACCGAAAATCTAATACAACAAATCAATTGGTAGATTGAAAAAAAATATCTTACAGGGATTCAAATACTGAAAAAAAATTCATGAAATGGAAAGTGAAGATGTTTTACAGTAGAAATAGTTTTTACTCTTTAAGTAAAAAAAAAATGTGTTCAGAAATTGAAAATTCTCTAGTTGAAAAAAAAAGCAGAATGACAAATTTGTAGAATTTGTATTTCACAGATTTAATCTTTAATAAAAATATTTCATCACTTCCCACATGAAAGACATTTCATGTTTTGTTTGTGTGTGTATGTATACAAATTAAATCAAACCTTGGATTTCACTATTTGATATGCTCTCTTCATGAAGTCATCCTTGATCTTTCAACATCCTCCAATGAGGGATCCATTTTTGTGTTTAATGTATGATTAGAAATAGTTTTAAGGCTGCCTTATCAATTGCTACCTTGCTGCTTAGCAAGCAATAGATGACAATTGAAAATTGTGACCAACAAAACTAAATTGTTATGTACTACTCTACTGTCATCATATTCTTACATTTGGTAATTGTACATCATCTGTCTAATAATTTTGTGAGTGTCTCTAAGAAATTTTTGTCATAAATAGATATAAAATGACAAAACCCATGACATAAATCATGATAATTAGTCAAATGCTGATTAAGGATAGTAGTGATAAAATTTATTTTCAATGTTTGAGCAATGCATTGATCAAATAAATTTTGGAAATAGATCTTGCCTCTTAACACCCACTGCCCCGTAAATTAAAATAGACACAATTCCAAAATAGTAAATTTCACTTGTATTTTATAATTTTCTCAGTTTGAGTGTTCATTTTCTTCAGATATTCATTTCTTCTATTTGTTTTTTTATTAGCTAATAATTCATTATCTAAGAAAAGCATGTTAAATTACAATTTAGAATGAAACGCTAACATAGACTTAAATTTTCCTGAACAGTTTTGCACAACAGTGTTGACTTTATAGATTGCAAGTAGTGCAGTAGCTACCAATTTTATTTTATTTTTTTTTTTTTTTTTTTTTTTTTTTTTTTTGACAATTGAAATATGAAATAATATATACAATTTTAATATTTTGGTCATATTTTTTTCTTTTGTGACTGATTAATACATGTTACAATGAGTGTATATATGAAACTATTTTAGTTCTACATTTGAAACTTTGCTACTGGATATTTTACCCATAGAGGTTTACCAATTTTCTTGACTGATCTTGAAAATTTGGTGGGAAAACTAGAACATAATTAGTAGCCAGTCTCTAGAAAACAAGATCCAAAAATAATTTTGTATGCATATTTCTATAAGTTGTGTGAATTTGTTTATGAATTTCTTAAAATATTGGACCATAATTTTTTTTTTTTTTTTTTTTTTAATTCACATTTCCCATTTGTGTGAATCTTTTTCTGGAATTTCTTCTGTTGGTAATTTCTATTCAATTTTTATCTGTTATATTTTTGCATTTAATTCAGTCCTTTATATTCTTCTATTCTTTCTTTTATTATATAATGGTAGTATTTTTGTATTCTGCTAGATCTAAATGTAGTTTTTTCTTTTCTTTCTTTGCATGAAATTGATCTTAGTTTTTCATGTAAGTAAAAAGAAAAAAATCTTCAATACATATGTGCGTGTGTGTGTGTGTGTGCATATTATATATACATAATCTCCAGAAAGGTTTTGTTAAATTCAACTGATAAGATCTGTCAGTTTAAATTTTAATTATATTTTATCCAATTTCTGAATCTGATGTGCATCAAAATCAAAATTGTGGATTTTGTTTGGTATTTGTTTTTTTTTATCAGTCAACAAAAAATTAACTTTAAAGAATTTTATTAAAAAAAATCAGTACAAGCAATTATTGTGATATAAACAAAAACAAATTCACTATTAACTTACACTATTGTAACCAGATGAGCCTTAACTATAAACAAAAAGGCCATGACAAATGTAATTTGCCAATACATATAATTTAATGATCCCTTTACAGGGATCATTAAATAGACAAATCTATAATTTAATTTCATTAAATTATAGATATATTATTTATTATAAAAAGTTAGAATTATTACCAATAACTCAAGATCTCAATTGTCCCTCTGCAAAAACTGATATTTATGGGATCCATTTTTATGTTTAATGTATGATTAGAAATAGTTTTAAGGCTGTCTTATCAATTGCTACCTTGCTGCTTAGCAAGCAATAGATGACAATTGAAAATTGTGACCAACAAAACTAAATTGTTATGCACTACTCTACTGCCATCATATTTGGTAATTGTACATCAAAACTGATATTTATGAATTCTAATGTCTTCTTGGAGATTGCATATCCAATATCAATAATCAAAAAATATTAAATTTTTACACTGGCCAGACATGCACCACACTCTCATAGGATGACTTGTCATTTGCAATTTGTGCACATATTACTCACACAGACATATTCCAATTATAAACACTAGACAAATATTAGTAGATAATGCCAAAATACTATGTAGCATTCACTCAAAAGCTATCATTATCCAAAAGAAACAACCCACATTAAATATGATAATCTTTCATCACAGTAGGTGGTATTTTAAATCAAGATATTTAGTCTGCATATAAATAATATTGGATTGGCCAAAAAATTTGTTTAAATTTTCTACTTAATAAGTAAACAATCTTTTTTGCTAACCCAGTATTTGATACATTCTTTTCCTGTGTAGTTTAGCACTGTATAACCATTTTACATATGATATTATTTATATGTTGCATATATATTTGAATTCCAACCTCCCTCCAAAATTCCTGGATGTAGTCAACAAAGTTTTGTCTACCACATTATAACATCAGTTTTTAATAATGGCCGAAAGTACTTAAATAAAAACAGAACAAAACATGAACTTTGGACAGCTTATTCATGATTTTAATCCTGATATATAACATCATAACCAAAAATTGGGAAAATATATAAAAAATTAAACAAACAAACCATGTCAGTTGCATTTAGCAAAATGTGTTTGGTTGATTTCTTGCTATTGAAAAATACCCTGTTTGTGTGTTTACTAAATAAATAAAATGACTTAGTAAAAAGAAATTATCTTCAAAAATAAGTTGGTTCACCAGTTTTTAGTGTAACAAATTCTTTGTGTAATATATATATATATATATATATATATATATATATATATATATATATATATATATCATCACATTCATAGTTTGTTTTTTTTTTTATAAACAAACCCTTTCTCTCTTAATGCTATATATCTATACAATTTCATAGAGAACAAAACTTTGGCTGGCTTATGGTGTGGCATAGCTTTTTCAAAAAAACTAATAGAAAATGAAGTTCTTTTTTCTGGTGGAGTCATTTTATGAAATATCCAGGAAAACATTGGGCAAACTATCTTTTCAAGTTTCCCAATTTTCTAGGTTGTGGCTTTATACATTGCAAAGTCTATCTCATACAATCTATACTGTCTTCCATACAAATGTATTTCCACATTCTATACACAAATTTACATATCGGTATATAAATATATACAATTACAAACAATGATTAAATCATATATCTAGACTTGCATACAAAATTATTTAATATTGATATTCATAAACACATGCTAATATTTGTTTATTTCCATTCACTTCACACACACACACACACACACACACACACACACACACTGATAATTTATTATCCACTTGCTTAAGAGGTTCATTCTAATAATGCCAATGTAATTGGTTGATATTAGTTATATCAGCAAATAATCTCATTTTCAAGTTTTATACTCTGAAAATTTGAGGGTATACATACTTATTCCCACTCAATCATCATGTAAACTTATAGGTACTTCTATTCTTATACATATGTTAAAATACATTCACTATTTGCACATACCACTGCATGAACAAGTAAACCTATATGATTACATGTATACATATCTATTATTTCATCTATTTTCTTAAAAATGTAATGTTGCTGGTATAAGAATTTTTCCTTCATATTTGACAAAATTGTTTTTGAAACACTTTTAATTGTATATGCATGGTACTCTAGTCTATAAAGGGTATTTAAGAATGAATGAATACACTTCAAGCATCTTTATTAAAGAAATGAAAACATGTATTCATTATGAATGTGAAGATTGGTGTTCATCTGAATAGTTAATTTATATATCTTTATTCAATCCTTCAATAGGAATGTATTCATTCTTTCTCCTACCAATATAGACTTCACAAGACATGTCTTTTATGTTTTTCAGCAATAAATTTTGAATTAGAATGTTTTTATTGAAAATATTACTTAATTCTTGTTTATGGCTATTGTAGATCATATGTGTATTATTTTTTCAAGGTAAATATTTGTATATTATGCTATGTGATGAAATTTTTTTCAACTATTTAGATAGTACAGTATTAATGATTTTATTCAAAGATTATAATTGGTAATAAGAGTGAAAATACAATTTTAATCATGTTTACAAAAGTTTTCAATAAATTAATTGAAATGGAATTGATAGTTCAATTTTTATTTGATTTTGTTAGATTATTTGAAAGCAAAATGCCCAATTAATTATTAAGTTCCCTAAGTTTACACAGAATTATTTTCTAAAAATATATTCTCATAATTTTGACAATTGAGAATTTTTTTACTGATATAATCCAAGTATTTCCTATTTTCAAATAATAAATATTTTGACTGCTTTCTTGTATGATGTAATATTCCTTTTAATAATATGAGCAGATTTTGATCATTTATTTGTTATGAGAAAATGATAGAACTATTGTTTCTATTTGTTAAGGCTTTCACTTCAAATTTTATTTTGATATTCCTACCTAAAGATATTTTAATTCCAAGAGTTGTTTGGACAATTGAACTCATTTTTTATTCTTTGTTCTCACATTTCAATTGATTGTTTTATGACCTTTTTCAAGCATATGAAAGTATTTTCTAATTCCTAATATTGTCTAATTGTAAAGTTTTAATGGTTAATGTAATTATTTGAAAGAAGACTTAAGTTTTTTTTTTTTTTTTAAGTTTTTATTACATTTAAAGGTTATTTATAAACAAATCATTATTGATATGAAGGATGCATCAGTTATTAATAAAAAATTGTGCCATTTAAAGTTTTAAACAAAATATTAGATTTATAATGAAGTAGCTTTTATGTAAAATTTAATTATAAGAACTGGTATGAATATAACAGTAGTTAATACAGGTGCAACATTCTGAGAGGAAGTATTAATTTAAAGGTTGAAAAATATCAGTTGAATGTGTTATATAAAGAAAAAATTGCTAGTAAATAATGAAAATAATCTACACCTTGTACAACTTAAAAATAGTATTACTAGTATTTCAACTAAGTAATTTAGAAGTGACGTGTAACAAAGAGTCAATGGCTCTTTTGTTAAAGGCATTGTTGCATGACTCGGCAGGCTTCTGTGGTTTGGGATTCACTATTAGTTTTTTATTTTTTATTTTTTCTAAAGTCACCATTTTTTCTAGTAAATTTTAAACTTACATTTTAAACAAAAAGTGTTAATTAAAATTGGCTTTTATTAAAACATTATAACACTTTATCCTAAACTATACTTTGTATTTGAAACCATACCTGCTCATAACATTTTAGTATAAAAATCAATCTTTTATGTGAGATATATCTATACTTAATGTAATCAAAACTTAAAAATTCAATAAATTTTATGCTTTATTATGTAAAAAAATAGATAGACATTAGATAATATCTATTCACATTTGTCATGTACATGTCTGAACAAAATTAATTTATAAAGTATTGTTTTAGGATTTCTGTAAAAATTATGAAAATATTTTAGCTTCTGAGAATTTATCTTTCATAGATACCCTTCCTTAGATGCCATACATGATGCACACTTTAGTGATCATGTCTCTTTTTAATTCATGATTGACTTGGCAAAAGAATTCCTGCAGTAGGCTGCTAACCAAAGCTATAGGACCCAGTCTATACTGCTATTTAACCAGTAGCTGAGTGATAAGACGAGATGAATTAATACCTTTCCCAAGTGTATTTGTGTCTAATTGAATGTAACAAACTCAACTGGAATTCAAACTTGGCTTTCTGATTTCTTATTTTAAGCCATTATGCATCATGCCACTGTACACATCCAAGCTTACAGCATCTGGTATTCCCAAGTGGTCACCCATCTAGGTAGTGACCAGGCTCAATGTTGTTTAAATTCAGTGATTGGATGAGAACTGGTGTTTTTAATGTGATATAGCCATAAGTCATAGATAAGTGAAGTGCAACTTAAGTCAGTAAGAAAATGGTTATTAACCTGTAAACCAAATGAAATTCTCTACTGGCTGTAAGAATTTTTTCCTCTTCAACTGCTATATTCACTTCTGTGTATCTCAAAAGTTTTATTTATATATGCTCAACTGAATTGTTTGCCTGAAGAAAACCACTATTTCCCTTACAGAATACAAATAAAGCCTCACATATATGTCCTATCTTTATTCATTTCTTAAAATTTAGAAGTGGTAAACCTCTGTTTTTCTTTTTGTAATGAAAAACATTTAAATTATCAATATCATGTTAAATTTTAACTTAAAATCTTAAATGCTTTGAAAATTTGGTACTGTCATTAAAAGTTTGTATTTTAAAAAATGTGGTAGAATTTATTTCTGAAATGGTTACAACATCAAAAACATGAAGGAGTTGTCCAAACAAAATTTGAACTTTTAATGAGTCTTAAAATTTTAGACAATAGAAAAAGTTTGTTTAATCATTTCTTTGAAAGTAAGATCCAACATTATTATTTTCTGACATGTTCTGATTTATTTGCAAATCTATTATCTTCAGCTTGTTTGGTATTAAACGATAATTAACCTTTAAGTCAAGTTACATAATCTTGTTTTATTTAGTCTTTTTGTTGATTAAAAAGATTATATTTTCAATCATGATTACTTGAATTTCAGAAATCACTTGGCTTTCAAGTTAGAGGTTTGATTTTGAAAGTATTTTAAAGAATTATGCTCAACGTCAGGTTTTGAAGTTATTATTTTATAATAATTATTAAGTAAATAAGTAATAATTACTCTACTAATTAATAAATTAGGCAATGAATTAACTTTTTACAACAATACATTGTTTTTTATGATAATACATTGTAAAAAAACAATGTGTTGTTGTAAAAAGTTAAAAAAAAAAATAGTTTCATAAATTTTCTGAATTGTGTATCCCCCCCAAAAAAAAAAATTTAAATTGAAGAAATTCAGTGTTATGTGGAGTCAGTTTGGATGTTTTTAATAATTTTGAGCAAGTTAAAAAAAAAAATTGGAAAAGATTTTTTGAATTTGCAAGATTTTTTATTTAACTTCTCTGTAATTTGTAAATGTGATTTTGAGAAACATTGATGAGGAAGTAAATGCAAAAATTTGAATTTTTAAAATGCCAATTTTTTCATTTTTAAAGTCATTAAATTAGATAGCTTCAGCATTTTGCAAGTTTCAAACAATTTTTTTTCTTTTTATCTGTGACAAATGTTAAAAAGTAATTTTTGCTTGTTTGATAATTTTCTTATTTTTAAAAAAAATCTGATTTTAATTTTTTTTTTTTTTTTCTCTTTCTCAAGAGTGTTTGTTGATTACCTTCCAAGTGCTTTCTGTATTCTTGCTTCCAGCCTTTAGCAAGAGAGAGTTTTTTAACCTTTTATGTTTTCTTCTTCAATAATGACTTAGAGGAAATGTTTGCATTTATAAATTATTTAATTTATAATTTAGCTAATATCCTCATCTTTGTAATGGTTTATTATTTGGTTGGGGGGAAACAGGAATGCTCTTATCATGATACATATGTATTGTTATATCATATTAGAAATGTTTTTATTTTAAATATCTGTAATGATCTCTGCTAAATTTTCTATTAATATTTCCATATTTTAGGGATGAGTGGTGGAACAGATAAACCCATAAAATTAAATACTACTGTAACAATTGTATTTAGTTTAAATTTTAATAGTTTCTGTTCTGAGCATAAATTTTGTTTTTCAAGAGTTTAAGATTTAGTGCATCATGGTTACATGTGTTACACTTTTTGAGAAATTTGTTTTATTCAAAGATTATATACAAAGTTTTATCTTATTTCCTGGTATTACAATAAAAAAAAAATACACTTTTGCATAATACATTTTTGAATGAGTAATAATGGAAAGAAAAAAGTGGCAACCTGTTTACATGTTGTAGTAAAAGAGATAACCATTTACCCCGAAAAAAAGTTCATGTTCTGTGTGTGATCTGCTGAAGAAAAATTACAAAAAGTAGTTAGCAAAAATCTACTTCAATGACTAGAATCTATGCTAATGTTCTCCCCTCCCCTGAATGGCGTGACCAATCAGAAAAATCTCTCGATGAACCAAAGCTGTTGTTTTTCGCTTATAAAGGCAGATTTTTTGAGCTGGAGAGCTGAACACGCATTTTCGCTCATGAGAAGTGAAGGTTGGATGTGTGACCCCATTTTGTTGTTTCTACTTTGCTTGTTGGACTGTTACGACAGACTATTGTTTGAACTGTGATTTGGCTACAAGTGTTGCAGTCGAGAAACAGAAGAAATCTATTGCAGTTGCTACTATAAGTTGAGTCTTTTCTTCTCTTTACTACAACAAGCTATTTCGGCTTACTTGAGAGGTTCTCGGAAGATTCAGTAAGTAATTTTGACAAGGTAGGAAAATTCGGTAACTATGAAATAAAAGTCAATTGAAAATTGATTTTAGGGCCATTCTTAGCCCCCTTACACGCCCCATCCAGAAAGTACAGCTCTAGTATTGCAATGAGATTTTATCTGAACTGGAACCCATGATGACTTGTGACTCTGTGCTAGCATGGGCTCTGGTCAACAATTGATTGAGCATCATTTCTTCCATTCTGGATGATGCACGGAGCATCTGCTTAACATGACTAGGCAATCCAGACACGAAGGTATCTGATTTGCTTTCTCTGTAATTTCCAATGTCAAATCTTTGAGTGGGCATGTGCTTTATCTTCCTTATTATGTCCAATGTAGTGTCTGTACATGGTAACTCTTCAAATTGCCCTTGCTTGATCTACATATTAAACCAGTTACCTTCCAGTAAATGAAGTAAACCACACCATTATCCTCATTTTACTTTGAAGGTAAGGTAAGAGACATCTTTTTAAACCTTATATTATTTGTTCTTTTTTTATTAGTGGTTTACATATGCTGTTGATTTCAATTCTTGGTATACTGATCAATTGATTTATGCATAGTCTGTGTACAGATTGCTTCAACCATTTTAACAGTACATTAATAGCATATGTGAGCCACTCATCAGGAGAAACACATAATGAATTTGTAGTACCTAAAATATATCTCTACTCAAATTGGCATGCTGAGTAGGTTTAGTTACTTCATTGGCTCAGAGGAGGAATATTCTAAGGCCAAGAAAGCACATAACCTTTCAAAGCAAAATTTATTGACATACAGTTATTTAAAACATCTTGTCTAAAAAAAAAGTTTATCTGGAATGATAAACCCATAAACAAATATTTGATAATGATCAAATCTACATACATTCAGATGCCATTGATATGAATCAATGCAATTTTGTTACTGAAGCTAGATATACTTATAGACTTACTGGGTCTCCATATTTTAATATTAATTCTTGGAATTTTAAAATTATAAATTGAGTGGTATGTCCTAAAAATATGTTGGGGTAGGCAAATAAGTTATGAATTTAGATGAAAAGGAATAATTGATATTAATATTTGATATATAAATAAGTAACATAAAATATTAGCATCTTAAACATGGTTCAATTGAATTCTTTTTGTTTACATGCAAAATGATCAATTTACTCTATATTTCTCTGGAACTGTCCTCTCCTTTTATTGTAGAAAGTGATTACTGAAAATTGAATCTTGCTTGTCAAATGCACAGATTTTCAAAGGTGAATGTCTGTTTACAAGTATCGAGTATAAGCATAAATACACTGAAGTCCTGTCTAATACAATTGAAATAATATGTTGAACTTAGTAAACAAAAATATTTTTGAGCTTGTACAGAGTAATTTTTATAGGGTAAGTAATGCCTACCTTGCTTCTTAGGAATACATGCTACTGATACATGCACACACAGTGTTGATACAGAAATCAGCATGATCAGCATAATACTGTCCTCAGGGAAATGAGCAAAGGGGAACTACAATGCTGGTGGCTACTCCCTTTACCTAGTAGAGGTGTCCATGATTGCATTACCACAGATAAAGGTGACTGTAGATGGTTGAAATGCAAATGCCCTTGTGGACATTGGATGTACTTCAACACTGATCACCAAGGAAATGGTTGATCATGTATCAACCATTTCCTTGAGTGGGACCAGCAGCATTAATGTGATTGATGGAAGAGAAATTTATAGTGACATGCAAATGACAGTACATGGAATGCAATTAACAATCTGGGTGATTGTACTTGATTTGATTGTTGCCTGTGTCAGTGTGGTGTTAGGCGTTGATGCTATTGGTTGGCATTACAATAAGTAAGGATGCTGTAGTGTTTTGGAAAACCATGCTACAAATGTGTGGACAGAGAAGGATGGCAGTATGGCAGCAACTCCTGTTATTGGGGAAAGATGTACAATTCTTGGAAAGGGATTTCTGTGTGACCTTTCATGGTAACCATTGAACAGTTGAGTGGGCATGGAAAGAAAAACCACCAGTACTAAAGAACAATGCGAGTTGTTATAATCAATTGTTACAAGGAGAGGTGTAAGCAGAATTCGAAAAAGGAGGCAGAATACTGGTTTGCAGAAGGAATTGTGATGCCTTGGAAAGAAGATAGTGATTTTCTAAGCATAACTTAGATGTGGCACAAGGTCGCTTGGAAAGTAGTGATGGCAGTGGTTCAGCCCACAAAGCAAAAAGTTTGAATGTCACAAAGGAGGTGAGACAATGAATGTGTGTTAGAAGACCATGCATGAATGGAAGCAGAGGGAAAGAGCTTCAACAATTGTTAGCCTAAAATCTGCCTAGTGAGGAAATGAGTTGGGAAGACAAGGTCAGTAGATAAACTGTTAACATGATGAAAGAGCTTGTTGCAGAAGTGAAAAGACAGGACTGAGTGAGAGGTAATTGGCCTGTACCCAAATGTGAGAAAGGAGTTGTATGGTGCAATGCCAGCAGTATAGCATTAAGAGTTGTCTTGGAAGTTGGAGATGTCTGCAGAAAATGCTGCCTGTCTACAAAAGAAAGATGTTACTCATATCAA